AGATGCTGGAAATGATGGGTGCCTGTGGGACCACACCAGGCAGGACCCCTCGTGGGAGTTCACTCTGGCCACATGCACTCCAGGTATCTGCTAGGACTGTGGGTGGCACTGGGACAGGCACTCAGGGACCCACCCAGGTCTCGGCTCGGGGCTTTGGCTCCATCCCTGACTGAGATGGGGGACAGGGGGTGGCAGGGCCTGGTGGCTCATCTGTGGCTCTGGTGGCTTTGGTCACTGAAGTTGAGCCTATGTCCCCACATGTCCTCAGCTTATCACCCTCCATCTCACCCTTCCATCCCATTCCTCAGGGGAGAAAACTGAGGCACAGAGACAGGAAGTGGCCTCGCATGGCCAAAGATGGGGTGGAGGACAGTGGGTGCCACCCAGTACCGGGATTCAGGCCTGCCCCGCTCCCCCAGGGCTGGCGACCCAGCACACCAACGCCACCCTTGGGAGGTCAAGGGGGGACCCCTTCTCCTGAAGGTGGAGCTAGGCTCCAGGGCGTTTTGTCACTGGTAGGACAAGGTCCCTGTCTCACCCCAGCCTCTTCGGTGCCCAGGCAGGGTGCAAGCCTGGCGTGGACCAGCTCCCCTCCTAGGAAGCCTGGTGCTCAGGGCAGGAAGAAGCCCCGGGAAGAGTTCAGCACGGACAGATGGGACGCAAGCGAGCGGCGGCGAGCGGCGGCAGCACAAAGGCAGCGGCGGAGGACCCGCTGTCCCCTCCCCCTCCCGGGCACTCTTACTCCAGTGTTTAGCTTCCCTGGGATCCTGTGGTTTTCTTTTTCCGAGTAACCCTGCGAACATCAGCCGCACACATAATTTCAGGTCCAAACGCTCGGAACAGGGCCAGCCCCGCCCCAGCGGACGTCCGCCAGGTCCGTTTCTGAGCCGGCACGCGTGGGGTCCTCCGTGCTGGGCACAGAGAGCGTCCCGGGGTTCGCAGGCACTCAGATGGGGCGCTCGGTGCCCCACGCCCCCTCAGGGCGCACGGGCTCCTGGGCACGCCGGCCTGGGGAAAGGCAGCGCTGTGTCTTTAACAGGGAGGAGGCGCTGCCCAGGAAGCCGGCAGTAAAAAGGCTAATGCGCGGCGGAGGAGAAGGAGTTTAATCTAATTTAGTTGGAGGGTGTCTGTCTGCGGTGTTGTTTTTTGGAGTGTGGGAACAGAGGAGGGAAGCTGCCCCCTGAATGGGCCCTTCTGCGCCAGAAGCAGTGGGGAGCCGCCGGACGCCAGCGAGCCCCGGCCCGGCCTTGAAAGAGGATTAAAGGAACGCTCTGATTTGCAATTCACACGAATGCACCCCGCGGAACCTTTGGTAATATTTCAATCCACATCTCAAGGGAAGTGGCCTTAAAATAGCAGCCGAAATTGTTCTGCAGCCTCGGAGGGCGCTGGCTCGTCCAGTTTGTGACGAGGGGCTTTTCTGCTGTTTTATTTCTCCCCTCCCCCATCTTACAACCAGCGCTCTTTAAGTGTAATTAAAACTTTCGTGCCCGCTGAATCTGCTGGGACCTGTTCGTATTTCGTGTACCAAATATCACCCCTGGGGGTGAAGGGGTTTGCAGCGGGGTGGGGGGGACAGGCTCCCGCGTTTGAGTCTGCTAAGCCTCTGGGGAATCCTGAGGCTAGCTAGGCCCGAGCGCGGACGGCGCACCGGCGCCAGGCGGCGGCGAGCACTGCCCGCTGACCACGTTCACGCTTCTGTGCAGGCGGAGCCGGGAGTCCTCGCCGGGATCCCACGCGGAGGACACGTGCAGGCCAGCGAGAAAAGCCCCGTGTGGCCACCAGCTCAACAGAGGGGCACAGCCGAAGACAGCACTGGGGCACCCGGACAGCCGGGCCCCTTTTATCCTCCAACTCCCCGCAAGATTCCCTAGTCCTAGCCCTCTCTGCTACGTCGCTCAAGTTTCCTCTCGCAATTAGCTTGCAGCACGCTGGGCTTAGGGTTCAACTTCTCTTTACTGCAGAGAGTCTCAGCACTTTTTATCTTAAAGAGATTATTTGGGTTTTTCTCTAATCCCATTTCAAAAAACCTGGCGCAGGGCTTTTAATTTCCATTGACTATTGCATAAAAAGGAAAGACACAACTTTGACTGTGAGCAGCATCTGTGTCAAAGTACCTTCTACTTTGCGCTCGCTGGCTTGACTGGAAGGCGGTGGGCCTCTCTCAGCACCCCCCACCCCAAGCCTTAGTTCTGTGCAAGAGACTGCTAGCTCCCCAAATCTTTCCTTTCAAAAACTTTCCACTTGCACCCTTGAACATTTGTAAGACCTTACAAGCGTGAGGATTGAGGCAGGCTTTCTGCTATGTGTGAATTTTTAGCTAGTGGAAGGGAGGAAAAATCCTTCTCCCTTACACGGAATCGTGTTTAATTATAAAGTTTCATTAGAAACCTTTGCTCACGTTTTTAGAGACCTAATAAGATTTCCATTAATTTAAACATATCACTATTCCCATGACTGCCCCCACGCTTTCTTTCTCCTCTTTCATCCATGGTTAAATATGTAAATAAAATGTCTAAAGTCATTCTTCAAAGAAGACAAAAGAAAAAAGGGCTGAGGGAAAGGCAGCCATAAAATTCTTCCCCATTCTCCATAACAGTTGCCAGAGGGGGGCCGGTTGCAGCTCAGCCGAGCAGCAGGGAACCGGCCGCTCCTCAGCCTCACAGCTCAAATCCCACACACAGGGAAAAAAAAAATAAAATAAAATATCTTTTCAGCTGGAGCATCAAAAGGCCCTTTTCATTTATTAGTTACAGAGTTATCTTCCAGTTGCTGGCTTCTCAGAGCCCCCATTTTCGGATAATAATATCTATTTGTTGCTCTGCATCTCTGCTGGCCACAGGGAAGGGCTACTCTGCTGACATATTTATAAAAAAGGAAGGGGGAAAAAAAAAACAGGAGAGAAGCAAGCAATCTGAAGTGCCCCTGGCTAAAATAATAGGCCTGAACACGGCGGAATTAAAGCAGCACATAAAAGATCAATTAGGAGCACTCTTGCACCCCACGCCAAGGCTTGGCACTGGCAGGAAAAGAGAACAGAAGGGCGCAGGGTACCCCGTGGGACCCTCGCGGGGAAAATTCTAGAAACGCCAAGTGACATCTGCGGAATCTTTTAACTTTTTAACTTGGAGGTTCTGAAAGGTAGCTCAGGAGGCCTGGAGTGGGGCACCCTTACTACTCACAGCGCAGCTTTCAGGAACCCAGCTTGCTGGCGTCCACTTTGCCTGACCCACTGGTCCTCACCCAGCCCTCCCAGGCGTCAACAGCCCTGGTTGTGGGCTTGAAACACTCGTCTGCTGCTTCTAGGTCCCGGAGCGAATCGCGGGCTCCAACATCCGAGGAAGGAAGGGATGGGTGAACGACCGAGGTTGTCGCCTTGTTCTAATTAGAAACCGAGCCTCTCAGGAAGTGCTCGGCCCGCCACTGCGCTGGGGGCTGGGCGGTGCGAGGCGCCTGGCGCCCTTCTCCTGTCGTCCTGGGGGCTTCCCAGAGGCAGTTACGAATCCGATTGACCCCGAGGGGTTGAGAGCTGTGGGTCGAGCCCCCTCCCGGGCCAGGGCCGCGCGTGAGCCTGGGGCTCGGAGGGGAGGAGGCGGGGCGCACAGGGCCCCAGCCCTAGCCTCTCCGCAGGTGGTCCTGGGAGTTTCCCAGGCACTTCAAAGGCCGGGCCTCCCGGGTGACTATGGGACACCTGGGGACTGTTTATCCAAGGGTTAGTGCGGGAAGCCGTCGAGACCCGTGTGCATTCCCGGTGCCGTGAGCGGCTTTGCGAAGCGGCGGCACCGCTGCGTCCCGAGTGGCTTCCCACGATGGGGGTCGCAGATCGGAGGCCCCGCGGTTCCCGCACTGTGGACGTGGAGCGCGGCGCGCGCCTCTGGCTCCTTCTCAGAGAGCCGGGTCCCTGCTCACCACGCGCTGCGTCACCCCGCGGACTCTCACAAGTAACGCGAACAGCCGGTGGGCAGCAGAGGATTTCCCACACCAAATGACCCAGACGCGCGGGGGGCGCGGGGCAGCCTGCAGGCGCGGGTTCCAGGCCCAGAAGGTTTCCCCGCTCCCGTGCAGCCCCAATTCTCCCCTCCTCCTAGAAGGGACCTCGGCCTTAAATCCGGGCCTGAAGCCCTTCTGACCCCTTTGAAATTTCAAAGCCAAGCCCTCCCCCACCCGCGCCGGATCGCGTGCCCCGGACTGGTCACCCGGACCCCGGAGACGCGGGCAGGTTTACAAGCCAAGGGGCCACTTTATGACCAAGGCCATAAAACGCAAATCCCCCTTCTCTTTGAAAACGCACTCCGCCCGGGACCCATCATAAAAGTCCTGGAGGATGAGCGTCCACCCTGAGCCCACCCGCGGATCGCCCCAACCCACGGCCCCCGAACTTCCCGTAACCTCACTGTCCTTGGGGTGCGGGGCACGGTCTCGAGGACCCCGGGACCCGGGCAAAGGAGGCCGAGTCGAGGCCTCAAGCTTGGCCCGGCGGGGTGTCAGGACTAGGGGAGCCTGGGGCGCACGGCTTTCTCATGCAAAGCGCGCGGGGCGGGGCGGGGGCGGGGCCTGCGGCGGCTCTCTTTTCCCCTTTGCCCGTTCGCGCGGAGGCTCATCCCGGGACACGGACCTCGTCACTGCTGCCGGCTGGACCCGGCGACGCGGGGACTCAGTGTGCCGGCCGGGCC